TCTCTGGGGGGGGGGAGGAGGGGACTTTAACATTTTAAGTTATTTTTTTTTTCCTTAGGTAAGCTTAAGGTCCAAAAGAAAAGCTGCTAATATTGTGTAGATACATGTTTATTATTTTTTATTGATATTAAAAATGCAAATAACAGTAATAATGCTCTTGTTTTAATAGAGTACGCCGACAGGGTGGAGGGTGCTATATCAAAGAGCATTCACCCTTTTTTATCGGGATAAATATGGTTGCTATTCTTATTGCTATTGTTATTTCGGCAGACAATGCTTTCTTTGACACGACCTTACAATGTACTGTACAGCACACTTTAACAGAGATGACAATGCAGCCAGAGCCTCAGGTGGAACACTGAGCAGTTGTCTGGGCTTTGAGGAGGTGCACGTCACCGGTTGGATGGACTTAAGGATTTTGCACAAGACTTTTAAAGCCTACCTGGGCAGGGCATGCATTCATAGCACTTCTGACTACTAATAAGGCAGCTTTAAGAACCCATAGTGGAAATGTGGGACATTGGCCCAAGATACCAGGAGCGGCAGTGAAATATGGAGTCTTGCAGGGTGATGACGGGTGTGCGGACTGGATCCAAGGACACACGAACTATTTCCTTCCCTGTTTTCTGTGTTGAAGCACGGACTGATGGCTTGGCATCTGGGATCGACAGGGATGACTCCCATTGGAGCTTGGCGTGACCCTTCAAGCAGTTACAAATAAACCCGCTGTAAAACTCAAATCACTCTGCGCTCATGTTGAACACTTGGTCCCGAGAGTGATCTGGTGTGTTAAAGTGGCACGGCATGTGCTTGTAACGTCTGGCTGGTTCCAGCAGCCCAGGAAGCACTCTCCCTCCGTGCATCCAGCTGGGCTGCCTGTGCTCACAGGTTCTGGGTCACCAGCGCACTGATGCACACTAATGGTGCAGGCTCCAGGGATCAGTCACGAGAGTAGTGCCCCCGTGCAGCTGCAGTGACAGTGCTCTGGGGTGGACTCTTTCGAGAGTTCAATAACAGGAATTTAATCCGACGCTTTAAAAACTGCATTTTTCCTTCACAGTGTGTTTTATTAACCTATATCACATTTCCAGATTTCTGGCAAATGCAGCTTGCGATAGATATAAATATTTCGCAGTGCATCAGTATGTACCATGCTCTTCCATTCAAGACACAATTTTCGCTGTCCTTGAAATGTTCCGCCCGAGGCTACAGAGCCACAGGGAAAGCGCACAGGAAGAGCCAGGAACATCGCCTCAGCTATAAACAGGTGTTTTGCCGAGTAGATTAAATGCTCATCAAGCCATAAGTGATTTGATTATTATTGTAAACTGACAAACGTTATTAATAGCCTATCTCCATTTCCATCTCTGGCGAAGCTGGAGGAATGTGTCAGGTTGTTTGTTTGCCCATAGCAACGAACTCTGACAGAAACGTTGGAAGTCTTAAATGGTGCAAAAAATGTAGTTTTCTGTGCAGTGTGATAAGGGACACGCACCCCTCTGCCACAAGTGGAAAATGAATGGATCAATGGGAATGGTGACCCTTTTCAGTAACAAGATCCACCACTGGCAACCTAAATGCACCGCAGGGGAAGACGTGGCAAACGGTTAATTTCACAACTGGAGTTCCGGCACAAAGCACAATTTTTCTGGTCAAAGGCATCTAACGCTTAAATAACCTACAGAGGC